TGGGATTGATAGTCCTGTGGGATTAATAATTCCATACCACTTATTCACAAACAAACAAGTTATACGTAGGGCCACGAATTACTAATCTAATCTCCTCTCCAAACTGCCAATAAATATAGTTGTGCAATAAAATTAAGGAGATTAATAATGTATTAGTATTAAGTTGAAAATATAAGATAAAAATATGTTTATTTGTGTATTAATGTGATGGTATTAATTGATTGAGACTAAATCTGTAAAATTACATAATTACTCTTTTTTCCACTTGACACCCGTCTTTGCTAATCTAACTATAGTCGTGGGCCACTACTCTAATCGGAGTATTAATCCCTTTGCAACTTTTCTAACCAAACACACCTCACCCAATCTTTCAACTCATGGAGGCAAATAAACATATTCTATGTGAATTGAGATTTATAGAAGATTAGTATAATTATAGAAGATTAGTATAATTATATAAAAAGTGTAAAATTAATTATATTTTTTTTTTCTAAATTTATGAGAATATTAGTAATGAAATGGTAATAATCATTTTATTAAACTATTATAAAACTTATGAGAAATTTTAAGTTCCTTCTGATTTAGTTTTAAAATCATGATTTGAGTATGAAGATGTATTTTGAAAGATATGTTTTTGAAATAAGTTTTGAAAAGAGAGTTTTGAGTTTTGAATTATATTTTGAAATTGTTTTAGTTTATTATTTTTAAATATTAAAAAAATTTCTTAATTTTATTTTTTTAGTGTAAATATTTTTTATTGTAAATATTTATTTATTTTTTTAATGTGCGCTTTATTTATTACATTTGTGCGCTGTATTTTTTAAAAATATTGTAAAATTTTTAAAAAATTATTTTTTATTTTAAATATATAATTTTTTATTTTAAATATTTTCTTATTCTCTTATTTGATAAAATAATGAAAATAAAATATTTTCTGAAAAAATAAAAAATAATAGCATTAACTAAGTTAAATATTTGGTAATTAAATGGCATTTGTTTAGTTTCAAAATCATTAGTTTTAAAAAATTAATAAAATATTTTTTTGATAAAATAAAAAATATTTTTCTTCAAAAATAAAAAATATATATTTTCTGAAAAAAAAATAAAAAATAATTTTAAAGAACAAAATAAAAAAAAATTAAATATTTTTTCTGTTTTAAAATAGAATTTTAAAAATAATTTTGAGTTTTAATTTTAAAAAATAATTTTTGAAAAGAGTTTTAAATTAAGTATTTGATTATGAATTTTAAAAAGAATTTAATTTTTTTAATTAAAATTATGATTTCAAAATTAAACCAAATCCTATCTTATAATTTTTTCTAAACTTATGAGAAATTTAATAATTATTAACTCCTCCAACTTAAAACATGATTAAGTGGTTTTTTGGGAAGTTGGTAAAAAGTTGATTATTTGACTTTTTTAATCTAGAAAAAATTACACTGACACCCCCTGAGGCTTATGTTTATTACATTTTCCCTTACCTTTTGGAAATTACATCTCCCTCCCTGAGACATAAAATTTCATTATAGATTCCATCCATCAGCAATTTAATTTTTTTAAATACTAATTTTGCCCTCACTGGATAAATTACATTGACACAACTCACATTTTAGAAATTACAATCCTCTCCCTAAGGTTTAAAGTAGCATTACCAATTAGCCCCTCGGTGAGTATTAGTTGGAAAAAAAATTCATTGGAAAAAAAAATAATTGAAAAAAAATTTTGTTAGCAAAATTTTTAAATTTCTATTTAAAAACCAACGTAAACTCATTTTTTGAATTTACGTTTTTTCTTCAAATTTACAAACTAAGTCAACAATTTATAAACAAAAAAAATTATCAAACAAGTTTTTATGACAGTTTTTTAATTTTTGTAAATATAAATTGAAAATTGAAAATGAAATGGTTACCAAACTTGCCTCAGATGGTAAAAATGTCATAAAATTAGTAAATAATTAAGGCCTGGTTTAGCATCCTTAAAAAAAAAATCAAAAAATTAAAAAATTACTAAAAATGTTAAAAAGTTATCATTATTTACAAATTAAAAATATAAAAAAATTAATTTACACAATATTTTAATACAAATCAACTAGTTGACGTGACTGGTACCAACTGATGGAAGTGGGCTATCAAAGGGGAAAAAAAAGAAAATTAGGTATATATATGCATTAAATTGAAGGGTAATGTTGGGTCAGTAAGGGCTCATCACAGGTCTCGTTTTGATAATCTGAACCATTCAATAAGTAGAACTCGTTGAGTACTATGTGCATGTAAAAAATCACGTTGATCGGATATTGCTAACTATATAATCAAATCAGTTTTTGTATAAAAAATGGATGGTGTTATAGTTAACAGTTGACCAAAAAAAAAACGATTAGATAGCTAACGATATTCGATTATTGTGATTTTTTACAAACATATAGTACTCGACGAATTCTACACATTGAACTGTTCTGATTAGCAAAACGGGACCCGTGGTGGGTCCGCAAGGGCCGAACAACACCATCTAATTCAAGCCCGAAAAGGAGACAATCATTTCCTATCTCCTAATCCACCCACTGCTCTGCCAGACTGTACAGGCTAGATCACTAACTTCTCCTATACACTTATTTATACAAATTTTTAGGGGTTGTTTGAGATGTCCTAAATAAGTGCACTTTTTGATTTTTTGGACTAAAAAGTTGGGGAAAAAAATATGATTATTTGAAATAACTTTTTAACTTTTTACGAAAAAATATGTATTAAAAAATTGTATAATTTAGTGTATAGGAGAAAGGAGAGAGAAATAGGTCGTACGCTGGGCAGAGCTGTGGCAAACTAGCATATCGGATATGCTTGCCTCATTTTCAAGCATTGAATTGGCCGGTGATGTTCGGCCCGTGGGGGCCACCACAGGTCTCGTTTTGGTAATTGAAACTGTACAATGTGTAGAATTCATCGAGTACTATATGTTTGTAAAAATCATGTTGATCGGATATCGATAGCTATTTGATTTTGATTAGTTTTTTTGTCAATTGTTAAATATAATACCATCTATTTTTATACAAAACTGATTTGATCATGTAGTTAGCAATATCCGATTAACATGATTTTTTACAAGTATATATTACTCGACAAGTTTTACACATTGAACAATTCAGATTATCAAAACGGGACCCGTGATGGGTCCCCAAGGGCTGAACAACACCGTCCTTAAGCTTGCCTTCGCCTGTGTAATTTGTTCTTACCAAGGTCAGCTAAAGGCAACTCAAGTCAACGTGATTTGTACATTTTTTTGTATAAAATTAAATTTTTTTGGTGAATAGTGATAACTTTTTAACTTTTTCTCTTTTTTCAAAGATCCCAAACCAGGCCTTAATACACATTTTTTCGTCAAAAGTCAAAAAGTTAACCCAAGTATTCATATTTTTTTCTCAACTTTTTAGTCCAAAAAAACAAAAAGTGCACTTATTTAGGATACCTCAAACAACAAATAAGTTACCAACGTAAGAAATAACTTATCAAAATATTCTTAAGTTATGTATGGTTTGATTTTTAGATTTTTTTTAAAAAAAATTAAAAATTAAGAGGCATAAATTCAAAAAATGAGTTTAAGTTAGTTTTTAAACAGAAATTTAAAAATTTTACTAACAAATTTTTTTTCAATTATTTTTTTTAAAATAATTTTTTTTAATTAATTTTTTTTAAATAATTTTTTTTTTAATTAATTTTTTTTCCAACTAATACTAACTAAGGGGGCAATTGATAATGCTACTTTAAACCTTAGGGAGGGGATTGTAATTTTTAAAATGTGAGAGGTGTCAATATAATTCACCCAGTGAAAATAAAATTGATATTTAAAAAAATTAAATTATCAAGAGAAATAATCTATAATAAAACTTTAAATCTCAAAAAAAAAAGATGTAATTTTTAAAAGAAAAATGCTTGGGACCTCTAATTAGAGGTACCACTAGTGATGTGGCATTGTAATAAACATAAACTTAGAGGATTGTAGTATAATTTACCCTTTAATCTATTTTGCCTTTTTATAAAATAAAAGAATAAGATGTGATATGACTTAAATGATTAAAAGTTAAAATCTAATTTTTTTTTTTTTTTTTTTTTTTGTCAAAAATCCCTAAATGATTAAACAATAAAACTTTGATTCTTTAAACAGAAGAACTTGCTGTCTTTCTCTAGTGACTGTTTGAGGCTTCTTCTCTTCTTCTTCTTCTTTTCTCTCTCTCTCTCTCTCTCAAAACATTCAAACAGCTGTTCTTCAAGGTCTCTGCAGACCCCAATTCCCTTTTGTCTTTTCTGCACATATAGACACAGTAGGTATGTGTGTATTTACACACATATATATACACATTCTAGGTTTCGATTCGATTCCATTGTATATTCATCGATTTTCTCAACTGCGTTTCCCTATTCAAACCACTGACCACTGGGTTTTTACGCTTTCCGGCATCGAATGCTCGAATTCAACACCATCAAGTGAAATTTGGATCTTCTCTTAATCGATTCTTCCCCAATTCACCCCAAGCTTGTCTTCTTTCAAGTAATGGAACTTCAAACACCAAACCCTCCACAAACCTCAATTTCCTCCTCCGAATGCTCTCTTTCTGGTTCGCCCACCATCTCTCCTTGGTTCCAACAAACCTAATCTCACACACATATTACATATAACTATTATATATATAGGAGAGAGAGAGAAGAGAGAGAGAGAGATAGGTATGTGTGTGAGAGAATTGAATTATGACTTCGTATGCTTGGAATCGAACATCTTTGAATTGAATTTTGGACCAATTGTTTGTTTTCGGAGAATTTAGGAGGGTTTAGTGGAATTGGAGAGGTGGTTTCGATGTCGGTTCGCAATCTTTGTGTTGAATAGTGAGGGGGTGAGCTTGTGAAGGGCTGCTCGGTGGGAGTTGGGAAGAAAATGGTGGGTTTCGGAGGAGAGGGGATGGCGGCGTTGAAGCAGTCATAGCGAGGCCGAGCGGAGGAGAGAGAGAGGATCAATGCTCATCAACCGCTTCGTGGCTCGTGCCTTGCACTGATAAGGTATTTTATTTTTTCACATTGTTTATGATCTGTGAAGATGGGTTTTCGAACGCTGCCGTATCGTATTAGGTATTTATTCGCGTATGATTATTTTATATGGTATTGTTACATATGTATCAAATATAAAAACACGCATTTAAGTTTTTTTTCTTAATTTGGATGTACTTAACGTTCTAGTATATATTCAAGTCGTACCGTATCTAATTGACATATAATTTTTTTTTACTATAAAAATAAAACTCTTTTCACTAAATTTCTTTTTTTTTTTTTGTTTTATACTTAGCATGATTTAAATTAAATTATGATTTATAAGTATTTAATATATTTGATATTTAATTTTATTTATATCTTCACTTTTGACAATGAAATGTTATTTGTAGGTTTAACAAACAAATTAACCATTTAATTAATTTTTGTATTAGTCTAAATTAAAAATCAATATTTTTTTTTGCAAGCGTACCAAACCGTACCCATATCCTTTTTTAAAATTTTTTACTGTATTGACTTACCTTATCGTACAGTACCAGTACTTGTATCCGTACTCTGCTTCATAGATTATGATCCATTAGTGAGAGTCTTGTTATGAGGTGCCTAAGATTGAGATTATGATAGATTGTGATTTCAATTTTCATCTATTGTTGGCTGCTTATTTATAATAGAACTTCATATCAAGGAATTTGAGAACATTATTGGTTACTTTGGTTGTGAAAATACTAAAGGACGGACCGTGACACGGCATGAACATATAGATACGTAAATTTCAAAAATTATAAGACACAAACACGTTAGGACACGTGCAAAATTATATTTTACATATTTATTATATGTTTGTTTTAATGTTTAATATATATTGTTCAAATATTTAATTTTATTAAATTTTACAAATTTGGATATGTTTTTTAGTAAAAAAATTAATTTTTTTTCCTTTTTGAAAAAAGTAGTTTCCCGCATGTCCTTAACGTATCTTCAGCATGTCCTCAATGTGTCCTTAGTGTGTCCTACATGTTGCAGCGTATGTAGTGTGCCATCATGTACACTCTTTCCAGCGTGTTCAACATTTGTCCAGAGCGTGCCCAAACGTGTCAGTTCCAACGTGTTGGACACCCATACGTGACTCCCGGAGAAGTGTCTGTACTCCATAATAAGATATCAATGTCATATGGACTTTATGTGATTATGCTTTTAGTAAAGTATAGCTTATGGTGATAGTTTCTTGTGTTTTCAAACATATGTATTTATTGGATGGTGGGGTAATAGCAAATTGAATTCGTATTTTCTTGATTTTCTTTCAATTATTTTCATTTGAAGGATATGCAAATTATTTTTATTTTTTCATTTGATTTTGTTATTCCTTGAGTTGTATGGATGATTGAAGAGAACCACATGACATTCCTTGGAAATAAAATTTATATGGTAGCTCTGATATGTTGAAGATCCTTATTCCACTATCTCCAGTATAGTTTGACATGATTGAGATTCTCTGAAATGCTTAATTTGGCTCTTTTTTTAATTAAATATTTATGGTCTGAATTTTGATTTTTTAAAAAGGTTTATTTACTTTTTCATTTTATATTTTTTCAACTTTATTGTAAAACATGACCTTTCCTTTGTTTGTTTGATGGAACCATAGCTATTACTTGTAACCGTGAGAGTTGACTTCATATATGATTGGGAACGAGAGTTAACATATGGAGATATTAGACTCTATTATTAATTTTGATTATAAGAAATCATGGTCAACTGGTATATGGCTTTCATTCATAATATACAGCCTCATAAATCCCAACTTGAATGGAAGTCCTTAAAGTAAGTAATCACAGGTACTTTATTTCATTTTATTTGGGAATAATTTTAATGTTTAAAATGCATCATAATTTTTGTATGAAAGTGAGAGATTGACTTTAAGTTTGTGTTTTCTAGACAATTGTTCTCATTAGATAATATGCATCATTTAAATTTGGTATACTTGAAGGTCTTATTTGCAAATATTGCAGAACTTTGGTCAATGTTTTTGCTCTTTGCAGCAACTATTTTTGAAGTAGACGGTTCTTTTCACCACTTTATTAAAATGTTTGAGTGACATGCTCCTACCTAAGAAAGCAAGCAATAATTGATTAAAAAATTCAACATAAATACATTTTAATGGCTTATGGTTGTTTAACAAGTAACACCTGAGAGAGATTTCCATACTATGAATAAGAAAATTCATTGTCAAGATTACATAGTTAGGTAGCGGTTATGATTGCATTAAAAAGTGATTGCTTATAATTCATCATCTTCTGTGTTGTTTAATTTGTAATTCTCATCTTTGATGTTGATTAGGAACGTAAGCATAACATACGTTTTGGAAAGCATTGCCATTACATTTTAGAACTGTTTTGTTTAATAAAACTTGCTATCAACCATGTCACAAAAAAATTTGTACGGATTAGTAATGTTATCAATTGAAAAGAATGGTGAGATCACATAAGCTTAATTAGTATTTTACGATAAACATGCAAAAGAGTAATATTTAATGATATTTTGTTATTGTTGATTTAATTTTTTTTTAGTATTATATCTGTTGAATTTGTTTGTTGTTTTTTTCTTGTTTTAATGGATTTTAGTATAGAATTAAGTAATATACATAAACTGTGTGGAAACTATCAGAAAATAATGCTAGTATTTATAATTTTACCACATTGTTCTTTTGCTATGATTTGTTAAGAGGAGTGTTTTGGATTTTTTCCTCGTCATCATACTGTTTTGCCTTTTTTACTTTATATTTTTTCTCGTAGGTGTATTGGTGACATTGGGGTGTTTTGGAAGTTGATAAAAAGCTAGCTTTGGCTTTTTACCAAGCTTTTTAGCTTTTTTGGAATGTGATTTAAAAAGTTGATAAAAGCTGATTTTACTTTTGCTTTAATATGTTGTATATGTCAAATCAAATTAAATGACAAATACCTTTACCCAACATAAGAATTACTTTTTTACTTTTTGTCATAGGCCCGATTTGTAATTTCAACACTTGCATTTTTCTCTCTTCCAATGAATTTTTGTTGCGTTTTTTGCTGCTAGCTTTTTCCCCCTTGGATAAAAAACGTGGTTTTTACAAACTTCCAAACGGCACATTGTAGCTGTTGCTCTCATTGACTGCATGAGATGGATAGGAAGAAAAAAAAAAAGAAGAAGAAAGAAAAAAAAGTCGAGGTAGTTAATATACATGACAATGGCATGACTTGAGCTTACTCTAAATTTGCTTTTTTGTTCATAGATGGACAAAGCATAATTGCTTGCTGAAGTTTGTCAGCCACGTGAAACAACTGAGAAAACTGCAGAAACCAGTAAAAGTTTACTTGTTGCCAATGGACACCGACGAAGTAAGAGTTGAATCACGATAACGAGGGAGATATGGGAAACTTCTCATTCCGGGCGTCCTATGTTGCGAATAGACACCGATATTGTGTCTGAACTGAGACAGGTTCGCTAATTCCTTCAGTCTGAATATGGTGAATGCAGAAGTCTCAACTTGGAAGTAGGTGAAAGTTTTGTTTTCACCAGCAAGAAATTCGATGAATGCCGAAATCCGAGGCATGCCAAGTCATCGTGAATTCTATTCATCGGGCTTTGAGCACTATTCTGGTAGGTTTCTGCTCGGCAGAGTATGCGGTAGAAAAGCTTCCAAACAAGAGGCAAGGATTTTTTTTTCAATTCTTCGAGTCATCTTCATGAGTTGATATTCTGGTAAGTTGGTTATAGGGTAGTTTATGTAATACACTTTGTAACTTGTAGGGTGTGGTGTGTGTATATTGTATATGATTTCTATATTTTACTTGGAGCATGAATGTATCAAAAAAAATTGGATGGTGTTACTTAATTTCATGGAATTTTATATTTATATGAATTGTATACTTTGGGAATATGTAACAGGGATTCTCTGTTCCAATCTTCTGTCATTTTATCTTGAAACACTTGCAATTGTTAGAAACTATATCTTGAGATATTTGCCCTTTGAGATTTTCATGTTATTCTAAACGGTGGTTGTTGATGTTTTCCAAATTGTGGTGAGAGTGAAATTATTTTGCTTTGGTTTAGTCCAAGAGGTGGAAAACTTGTTGATCTAAGGTAGTATTTGGTTCACTGGAATGAACAGAAGAAATGATTATTCCATTCAAAATGTTATTAATTCAGTTTGGTTGATTAAGTTGCTCGTTTGGGCATGTGGGTTTTGGATGAAGTGTGAGACTTATTTTAGTTACAAAAGACAAAATGGTTTTAAACTAATAAGATAAAATGTTCATTTTAACATCCAAATTTATTTTTTTCACTTACAAAAATCATTTTTTTTTTTTTTGATCTGTCAAATAAATTATTTAAGAGACTTGTTAACTTTAGCTAAATAGTCAAAAGTCAACTTACATCTCAAACGAGCTTAATAAAATAGTGGAATAAATATATTCATAAATACTAATCATCATTCTCATTTTACGAGGAATTTTGAAATGATCATTACATATAAAATTTAAAAATGATCATTTCATTCTATTTCACTATTCGAGTGTACAAATGAACCTAAGGTTATTTGGTGATTAGAATTTGTGAGGGATGGAGAATGCACATGTTTATTAGTGGTCCGATTCTAATTATTTGAAACTATTGAAACATTACATATTGGAACAAGAAAGTATTACTTCTTTTTTGGTTACTTCGGAAATAAACAAGGGATAAGCCCGTTCCATAGAGCCACCTAACTATATCAGCAACAAGTAATTTCTCGTGATCTTCGTGGGGTTCTGCACCACCGCATATTCTCGGTTGAGCTGCTCCAAGTTTGGCAAGATATCAGCAACGCAGTTATCCTTCTTTCAAACAGTTGTATCGTGCAGTTGCAGCCTTCAGCAAAATTTGGTCATCCTCCAAGGCTTTGAAGGGCTTTTTCAAGTATGGTCTTCTCATTGGTGACACTTGGGTTGC